GAGCAATCTTTTGCACCCCTCCTCTTCCAAAAAAGAAATAAAGGAACAAAAATCCTAACGGCTCTTAATGTGGAAGAGAAAAGCTAGTATTTTCAGAAGTTACCTTCTTACACCAGGGGGTTGTTTTTTTCCACTCCCTAAGTTTTTAAAAGAAGGATAGATGAGGTGCTTAGGGACATGGTTTAGTGGTGGGATGGCAGGGTTAGGTTGAAGGTTGGACTCGATGATCTCAAAGGGCTTTTCCACCCCAAGGGATTCTATGATTCTATGATTCTATTTTTACACAAAGTACCAAATCCTATCCAGAAAACCATGAAAAAGTTGGTGTCTGTATTTAGAGGACTATCTGATGAAAATATGACAAAAAAGATAATTTCTTTAATCTGTGGTTAGTTCCTATCCTCTTAGGGATATTTCTATACTGCTTATTTAGAAAGGACTCAAATATTTGTATTTGTCCAGAAATACACAAATGTATTATGCCTTTCCATTAAAGCTTATATAAGCTAATGATTCTATGATTGAGAAGAGAGGTTGGAAACAACATTTAACTTAACATAATTTAAAAAAATTAAGAGGGTAAAACCTACAAAAAAGAACAGCTCTTGAAAATCAGTTGTCATAAACATTGCCATATATTTTATTTTTTGAAAGTAGGTAATGTGCTATAACTTCATTAAATATGTTCAGTCTATAATTTTTCAGCGCGACACAGTTTTACATTATTTAATTGGTAAAGCCCAAGTAAATATTTGACAGCTTTGACATTTTGTGGCCTAGTTTATTTATAGATGGCTGTAATATTTTGAACGTTAGGCTCAAGAGGAAAAAATAAGATCAGTGTGTTCTCCTAATCATTTAATGTACTGAAACATTTACGGTTATAAAACAAATCTGTGAAGTTGCTAGGTACTGCAAAAGAGGAAAGTTAATTAGCCGTCAGTACTACAAAAGATGCTGTCTGAATAGAGCACACAGAATGATTCATTAGTTGCCTAATTGAATGATTTAAGGTCAAGCCTGTGTGTGTTGCTAATTTAGCACTGCAATTTACTACAATCTGGAATGACAGAAGAAATTTTTAAAACATTTGTGCTACTTGCTTTTTTGTTGTTGTTGTGTCACTATCGAGCTAAAAGTCACCTTTCTGTCTGTAAACATTCAGGAACTTGTTAAAAATACCATTTTGAGAATGACCTAATCTTTCCAGAAATTCAAGTACAATGTTCCCTTTAATTAAACTTACTCTACTTTGCCCTACACAAAGTTTGTATTATTGATAATGCTTGTGCATATTTGGGCACAACTTCATTGTGTAAGTTGTAGGGAGTAAAGCTGAAGTTTTGGCAACCGCCAAATCATTTCAGCATATGAATAGTTTGATTTGAACGGACCTGATTTCACACATACAACTTTTCATTAAATTAGGCCTACTTGAACCAGGTGTAGATTTTGTTATTTGATAGAAACCAGTAGTTACAGGCTCTGGGATGGTAAGTACAAGACGTGTAACATCAGGTTAAGAACTAGTTAGAAAGGCATAGAGAACAAAATGGAAAACTTTGTTATTGTGTTTCTGTTTTTCTCCTTTCTTCCATTCAAAGAGAAATAGAATAGAATCAGAAAAGCTGTAACATGGATGATTGAAGACATGGAACGTGTTTAGTACTAGGAATAAACTGGGATTCTTTTTAGCCTGGTCTGACAGAAGTCAATAAAATCACGAGAGGGATGGAGAAAGTGACCAGGGAATGATTATTCACAGTCTTTTGTAATACAAGATCTAGCTGGCATCACATGAGCTTACCAAGGGACAGGCTGAAAACAAAGAGAGTACAGAAGTATTCCATTGCACAAGAGGTAGTTGAATTATGGAGCACACTGCCTGGGGACAGGACGGCTGCCACAAACGCACAACTTCAAAAAGTAACAGGGCAATTTGACAGATGAAAAATTGAGGGCTACTGAAAATATCAATAATCCCCCTGGCTCTAGACATGAAGCCATAAATCCAAGAAAAAAAAGGGTGCAAGAGTGGAAGTATGGCTTTATTAGAGTCTTGCCCAGGCCCTTACTGGCCCGGACAGAACTTCTGGTGTAAGCCAGTACAGCTGGCCTATGTTATTAAAACTTATTAGCAATTTGGTCGGTACTTCAATAATTAAGTAGTATGATATTTAAGTTGTCGGGACACAATCCTGCCAGGAACCAAACAGTAGCATATGTTGCCTTGTTACGACTTTTGAACCAGAAATGTTGTATTTTAAAGATTTACACTACATAAGGCGCTTTTTTTTTTTGGTTTTTTTTTTTTTTTTAAGCAAAGGTAAGAAAAATAATCGTCTCACGTTTGCAATGTGAGCGTTAGGTGCTGTAACAAAGGCACGTAGCGAAGCAGGGCCGGGGGATGAGTT